AGCGTGTCCCAGCAGCACTCTCCTGGGCCCCTCACGTCCCACCATCCCTCGAGGAGGAAAAAAATCACTGTTCCGAGGGTAGAGCCAGCTATGGGGGCGGATCTCTCCCCGCCACACTCCACCTGTCAAAACTGAGACTTCAGTTGCCTTCTCGTGGCCTTGGAGGAAGCAGCACTGGGAGAGTATCAGCCCACAAATGGGGCGGGGGAGCAGAGACCTCAGAGAAAGGCCTCGTGGCCTTCAGCGCTGACCCCATTCTTTCGAGCGCAGTGCTTGTCCAGTCTGCAGAGACCTTGTGGCTCCTGCCTGGCCCTCGCCCGTTACTAGCCTCTCAGTGAAAGGCTGGTTCCACGCAGCACCGCAGTGATTCTTGGTCTGAAGGGGCCATGAGTTGCCTGTGCCTCACGCCCCACCCCCTCATCCCCCAGAGGTGGTGTCTGAGTGGAAGGCCCTGTGAAGGGAGGCCTAGCCACTTCCTCTTCACCCACCCCCTGCACCAGGACTGCAGCAGGCCTGGGGCATCCTTCTTGGAAGCCTCAGGACGGTGTCTGCGAGGCACTTCACCCGCCCCCGTGGCAAACAGGAGGAGGGCTGAGACACTGGGCATCAGGGAACAGGCCCTGATCGAACAGCTAACACACAACTCGAACCGAGGCCAGACCCCAGCTTTTCCCGGGGGGGCGGCAGTTAGTTATAGGGCCCTTCACGCTCCTTGAACATCACACGCAGCTGAGCTTCCGGAGTCATGGAAAGCAATGACACCCCACCCCCACCCTCACCCCGCCATCAAATCCAGCCAAGCCCTCAAAGACGCCACGGAACCGCAGCCAGGTGTCAGTTTTCCAGTTTATTTCGGGTTATTTTACAATCCTCCATGTAAAATGCAGGGTGGCATAAACCCAGGGCCTCCAACGGGAAGCCAGGAGAGGCTGTTCAGAGGTGCTCACAGAGACCTGCCTCTCCCGAGTCACAGCAGACGGCGGGACACGGCCAAACCCAGGTGACAGCAGGCAGGCCATTCCAAGGAGGAGCTGCGGAGGTAACATCCATTTTGGCTCTGTTCCCGCACTGAGACCAAGGTGACAATGTGCCGTGAGGGCCGCAGAGGCTTCCCGGAGGGTAACAGAACTTTAGCACCATTTACGCTGACAGAGATGAAGGCTTGGTTCCATACGAAAAGCCCTTAGAGTGAAGTGTGAAAGATTCTTTGGAAGTGTCTTATTATAAGTGAGACCACTCCCTACTTCTGGGAAAACGACCCTGCTACTGGGCCTGTGTCCAACCCTGCTGCCCCCCACCTTCTGCAATGTCCTAACCAGAATTAAGAAGGGGCCAGGGCAGAGGCCACTCCCTTGGGCTCTGCCTTGCAGCTAACAGCCACACTGAGACAGCCGGTGGCCATGGTGTGGGCACGCAAACCACCAGGGTTCAGACACATTTCAACACCATGAATACCTCCTACTGCCAGGGACAGCGGCCACACCAAATGATGCCACCACACACTGGCTCTCGCCCAGTCCCAGGGACGTTATCTCAATGCACTGCACCATGCACACTACTACTCTCCACCTCTGCCACCTGTGGGCCGCCCCATGGGATCAAGGGCAGACACGCTCTCAGGTGGGCTCTGCGCCCTCCGTGGCCGAGTTCCCAACGGGAGTTGCCTGTGTTGGCCACACACACACACTCATGCTCACCCGGAGCCTCCCAGAGCGCCACTGTAGGAGACCAGGCTTGTGTGACTTGGGGATGAAAACCTGAGGAAAGGGGGGTTGGGGGCTTGTGGAATCGTGTACACACGCGCTTCCCCTCCCTCAGACTCATCCTTCTGTGACCCAGGAGGCCGGCCAGGCAGCCACGGGGGACATTTTGTTTTGAAGTGGCATTTCTCTATTTTTAAATGCAGCGCTTTTGTTCGCGTCTCAGCGTTCTTGGGGTGGCTTTTGACAGCACCTGACATCATGCCCTGCGTGGACGACACCACGTGGGGATCCGCTCTGGTCTCTGGCCCGCGTCTCAGAGTCACGCCAGGCACCGGGGCTTTCTTTTCACTGTTAAGCCGTTCCTGATCTTTCCTAAAAAGGCATTTTAATTTTACATGTGCTTACACGATTCCCCAAAGGGTCAGATCCTGAATTCCTTTCCGGTATTCAAAAGATGGGAGCACCTGTAAACTACCGCTTAAGGTCACTCCCACAGCTCAGAAGTGGGAGCGCTCCAGTGTCTGATGGTACAAGAGAAAGATTGTTCATTCCAGGGGACACTGTCACTGTCCTCCCGTTGTTCATCGTTTGCTCGAGAGGGCCCAGTAACGTCCCTATTGTGAGACTTTGTCATTACTGTGTTTGGCATATCGGGTATGTCATGGGTAGCTTGCCAGGCTTTGCCGTGGGGGCGAGATACTCTCGGTAGCTTGCCGGGCTCTCTGAGAGGGGCGGAGGAATCGAACTCGGGTCGGCCACGTTGGCTGCATGCAAGGCAAACGCCCTACCCACTGTGCTATCGCTCCAGCCCCCAGGGGACACAGCACCTCACAAGCAGCGTCCAGATGAGCCATTCTCCACGGGGACCATAGAGCCCTCCGTGGCCACCATAACACCCCCAGGAGACCACCGTGGTAACTAATAAGGGTGGGGAGCGCAAAGCATGAAACTAGGGAGCCAACCGGTGGGCGGAGGAACCACAGGAAGGAAACGAGGTTGGAAGCAGGTGGGAAAGAGGCAAGAAGCACTATCGAGTACCTCTAAGAAGCAGACTACACATTTTTTAGGTAAACCAGCACCACGGTGTGAAGGGTGGGTGGGGGCGAAAGACTCAGCGAAACCCACAAAGGGGTGTCCCAGTGGCCTGAGATTCGACTGCTGTGCTCTGGGCTCGGAAGGAAACGGCAGACTGAAGGGATGGGACGGCAGAATCAGCAGCGGCTGGAGGGCAAAGGCACAGCGTGGTAATAGGGCTCCTGAGTTTGCCTGCTGTGTGCATTAGGACACCTCAGAGTGGCCACGCCCAGGAAGTGCAACTAGTCGGGTCTGCAGAGGCTATGCGCATCCTGGCCTCTGATTTGCAGCTGCCCCACCCTGGGCCACACTGGGAGAGCTGTCAGCAGAGGCTGAACAAGCTGCCGGGCTAAGCGGGGGAGGGGAAAGGCTCTCAAGGAGGGGAGTCTGTCACAAGGTACTTCTTGGGGGCGGGTAAGTCCTTCCTTCCAGGTGGGTTCTGTGAGGCTGAAATATCCTGCCGGAGAAACAGGCGTGAGAAGGAAGTTCTGTCTACTTTGTGGAGAGCACCTGCGTCTCCACAGGACCCTGGGTCCCACAGTGCTTAAAGCAAGAAACCAACTCCAGGCTGGCTGCTCACCCAGAGCTCGCTCCTGGGAGGCCATCTGCCTGACCCACCCTCCTGACCATCCCCTGATCTATCTTCCTGACCATCCTCCTTCAAGATCCTCCCAAGCCATCCTCCTCAATCCTCCTCCGGAACCCAGTTAGGGCCAAGTTCACTTCTTTCTGCTGCTGTCAGTCCAAGAACTGGAATGGTGGGTGCAATTCAGACCGCGGGCAACTGAAATTGCAATTTGCAACCAGAAACGGCCTTTGAAAGACTTGGTCCACCTCGACTTCCCAGAGCACTATTTCTTTGAAAGCCTGACTTCGGACACCTCGCTCCGTTCAAGTGAGTCTGAGAGGAGTCTAGCAAGGGCCGAGAAAGTAACTGAAAGGGCATCATTTTAGATCTTTATCAACGTGGTGGCTATGACCACAATTTCTGCAAATTCTAACAATATTTTACATAGGAAGAGGAAAAACGTGTGAAATGTAAACAGGTAAGTTGTCCATAATTTCCATTCCATTTTCAAAATGCAAAGATGATCAGAATCATGAATGCCGCTAAATGCAACAGCAGAGACAAAAAGACCCAAAGGCTCTCCAAAGGACAGGCTTCCACGGCCTCGGACAATCAACCCATACATTCAAGTTGTGCTTTACAGAGTTCCCAGGAGAAACAGTAAGCATGTCTAGTCGCCACCACAGTGAGCACCAGAACAAACACTCAATGTTACCTGCACTAAAATGACATCGTTATTATTCCTTTAATTTGGCTTCAAGGCACCTCCCGAGTGAGGCACCACTGCATTTCACAGTGAAGAATACCAAGGCTTGCCAATGCATCCACATGGACAGGATGTGAACATGAGAGATGAGGGCCTGGAAAAAACACTCATGGAACAGCTTGCATAGTTTGGTGCGTCCTGAGTTTTCTCAACTAAGAATTTTAGTATTTCAGTAAAAGCAAAACTTACTTTAAAAAAGAAAAAAGGCATACCCCCTCCCCAAATAAACAGGTAAGAGATCTCATTAATGATTTGAACTTGCACCAGGAAGGACTTGCATTACTATCAAATAAAGCTTGGAATCCGAGGGTCTCTCTGCCGCCAGATGCCGAAAGCATTCCCGCCCTGCCACCTGGTCATCAAGATCAATGCAGGAGCTGATGAATCGCCGCCACATTCCAAACCGAACGGACGATGTCACCACCCCATGCCCCAACCCCCATTACCACCCTAGCCTGTACCAGGCAGGAATGCTCCTAACAGAATGCTCCTCCCTCAGCCTCCCTAAAAACAATCCCCGGCAGCTGTGGCATGGCCAGATGCTCGCCCACACTTAAAGCGGAAAGCAAGAGCTCCAGCAGGGAGGCGTGCCCTCCACCAGTGAGTGACAGGAACATGGCCACCCCTGGGGATGCAGGCGGCTACCTCTCCTCTCTGTGGAGTGCCTGAAAGACATCTGCAAGCAGCCATGTCTCCGTTCTGCCTGACTCCAGGAACTGGGTGGGGGGACCAGGGCACCCCAGACCTCTCCATGCCCTGCAGCTCAGACATGGCTGTGGCCCGATGCGCCGCAAAGAAGATCGCGTGGTCTGCCAGGACTCGCATCTGCAGAGGCGGCCAGCAGAGACCCTGGATATAAAGAATGCACTCCTTCCCAAAGTGCATCTCCTCGATACAAAACTATTTATTTCATGGAGAAGCCGCAATTTTCATCTTGCGACAGGTGTGCTTGGAGCGCCCCGCATCCCACCGCATCCGAGCCGCAGGGAGCTGCAAGCTCAGTATCGCGCTGGCCACGGAACCTTCCAAGCAGCGCTCACAGACTCGTCTCCTCGCACACCCTGACGGGGATGTTGTAGTGCCGGTCGTCCTCGGCAATCAGGGTCACGGTGGGCCAGTCCTCGGGCGGGTCCGTGGGGTAGACGGTGACAAACTCCTCGGTGTTGTGCTTGGACAGGCGGTACACCTGGATGCTGTGGTGCACGGCGTAGGCGAGGAGGAACATCTCCACCTGGGCAGAGAGAGCGACAGGTGGGCACTGCGGCCCCTTCCCTCCCAGGCGCGGCCTGTCCGATCCTGAGGCCGAGCTGACCAGCAAGGCTGTGCCAGGGCTGGACAGGGGTGATGTGCCCAGAAGAGGTCAAGTTCTCTTACCTCAGGGAAGCACAAAAGCAAACCGCAAACGCTGAGCACAGTGGACGCTTCTCCAAAGACACCAGAGAAGGACTGAAAAGGCCAGTCACCCAGAACACCAGTCCAACAGACAGCAACAGTGGGGCATGGCTTCTCGGAGGGGCACCTGCACAGCTAGAGCTCACAGAGCACGGTGAAGACCCTAATCTTGAAGTTCGACTCAACCCAAGAAAACGAGCAAGTGAGTTCTGGAACACTGCTGGGGAGTCACGTGAGACACTGCAGCTCCTTCAGGAAGCTCCTCGAGGGGCCGAGTGATAGTACAGCAAATAGGGAGCTTGCCTTGCGCACAGTCAACCCGGGTTTAATCCTCGGCATCCCACATGGTCCCCGAGCCCGCCAGAAGCAATCCCTGAGCACAGAATAAGGAGCACTCCCTGAGCACCACCGGGTGTGATGCAAAAGCCAAAAAGTTAAAAGTTCCTCAAACTGGTAAACAGCATTGACTGACCCAGAAATTCTCTCAAGCATACTTGCAAGACAACTGAAAACATACAACCACGTAAAAAGTGTGTGTGTGAATGGTCCAAGTCGTCAGAACTGAACATGGAAACAAGCCAGACTGCACACACTGCTCTTGAGGGGTGCGATGCGGGCAGGGCCCACAGAGGCACCTGAGTCACGTGTCTGTGATTCCATAGGGCCGGAAGCAGGTCAGTGGCTGCCTCAGTCAGGGGCAAGGGAGAGGGACAAGGGAAGAACTACTAGTGGCTACGAGATGTCCCACGGACAGACACAGCCTGCAACATGCGAGCAACCCCGCAGAGGCTTTGAAAGGCAACTGGGACCTGGATATAATTGAACCCCCAGCCTGTGGCATCCCCTATCCCCACAGGCCCAGCAGTGACCCTGGTGAGCTGCATGTGACTGAACCCCAGCCCATGCCTCCCATCCCCACCCCAGCTGTGAGCTTGCTGTTCACCAGCACTGCAGGGCCCGGGCAGCACCACGCCCTCATCCAGCAGCCAATGAACAGTGTAATAGGGAGTAGCCCCTGGGCACTGCCCAGAAGACAGTCCATTCGCTCTCCCCCTAAATTAAAAGGGAAAGTTTTGTGGTATATAAAGCATTGCCCAAGAAAGCATTTTTAAGTTTTTTTTGTTTTGTTTTTAATGAACTCTTCATTGTAACAGCTATGGGGGGGAATCAGGGATCACTCCTGATGGTGCTCAGGGGATCATATGAGGTGACGGGATTGAATCCAGGTTGGTTGTGTGCGAGGCAAGCCCCCTGTCTGCTATACCATAGCTCTGACCCAGCCCCCAGGATTTTAACTGTGAGTCATTTACTGTGGTCCAGAGGACACAACTGGCCCAATCCTGCCTGATCCAGCAGTGGCCATCAGGCATCTGTACGGTCACCTAGGAGCAGGAAAAGGCGAGTGCAGTGAGCTGTCTAGCAGGAAGGGAGGACTGTGGACGGAGATCCTGGTGCTGCTCCACTACGAAAGCAGCAGCAGAACCAACCAGCAGACACAGACAGCCGTGCAAAGCCTGACAGCTCACGGGCTGCCAGTGCAGGGTCGCTGATGAATCCCAAACACAGCACCTCTGTGGAAGATCCCAGGGCAAGACTGGTCTGCGGCTAAGGGACTCCAGTTCTATTCTGAAGGATGTCGCCTGTCACAGCTGCAGCTGCCAAGAATAAGTAAGACCCTAGAAGAGGCTGGCATGACAGTGCTGTGGGGAGGGTGGCAATCTTGCACATGCCTGCCCCAGGTCCAATCCCCAGCATCCCATACGGTCCCTGAAGAGCCCCAGAGGTGGAGAGCCAGGAGTAACCACACTGAGCACTGCCAAGTGTGCCCACCCCATGCCCCAAAATGAGACCCTGGAGAGGAATCTTGCAAGCACTCCAGGCATCTATGGCCTATCAGAGCTCTGGAGCTGACCCAGCCTCCGCCTGCAGAAACAAGCCAGTTGCAGTCAGCACAGAAGTCAGCAGTAAAGCCCAGCCCAGGTACCTGCACTCTTCACTGATGCCCTCCCCTGGTGTGGGCACCCCAAAAGTGTGGGATATGTGACAGGGTGGGGGACTTCCAAGATTGGGCTACAAATGCACATGCCCTCCTCCTGGCTCTCTTCTTAGATGAGTTCCTTTTTTTTTTTTTTTGGCTTTTTGGGGGTCACACCCAGCAATGCTCAGGGGTTACTCCTGGCTCTGCACTAAGGAATCACTCCTGGCGGTGCTCAGGGGACCATATGGGATGCCGTGAATCGAACCCTGGTTGACCGTGTGCAAGGCAAACGCCCTACCAGCTGTCCTATCACTCCGACCCCTCTTCTTTCTTTTTTAAAAACACTGTCAGGATGGAACCCAGGGCCCTTCCAAGGCATGTGCTCTACTGCTAAGGTCCACAGATCACTCTCTGAGAGAAGCCAGCCACCAGATCAGGATGACACTCACAGTCCTACTTGGAAAACAACAGAGTCTTCTCAGAAACTACCATGGAGAACCAAGGCCTCCTGCTCACAGTGAGATGAGTGAGCCACTTGAGAAGTGGGTCCTCCAGCCCCGCGCGTCCACAGAGAACTCAAGAGAACTGTTACTGCGAGACCCCTCAGCCAGAGCCCAATGACCCTGCAAAGAACTCCTGCCCCTCAAGAACCGAGAGACCATTCTGATGGTAAGGTGCTGTTCGAAGTCAAGCACTCCCAAAAGTCCAACGCACCTGTTCAAGGCCTCCAGTGTGACCCACGTGGTTCAGATGGTTCCTCAGCAGCTGTTCAGGGTTGTTTGACGTATCCCGAGCAAACAGAAGCACAGAGAAAAACGGCACTTCCTTTCCCTTCTCTTTGTCTTCAAAGAGTTCAATGGCTCTGTTGAGCATTAGGAATTTTAAAGCTTCATACAGTTTATATTCCTCTATTTCGTTCGTGAACAGTTCGTCACAAGCTGTCTGCCTTGCTTCCACAGCACTCAGTTCAGCCAAGCTTGTCCACTAGGAGAAGAAAGTTACATCGGAATGCAAGTCTGGGCCTCAAAAAGCCCAGCTCACATCCACAGTACGAGCGCAGCAGCAGGCGGCCACACACCAGCGCACACAAGGTCGAGTCTCCAGCCCGAACAATGGCACTCTTCCGGCTACACAGATCCCTTACTCAGCTTCCCCCGTTAATCTGAAACCAAAGTGCAGGCAGTGGCCCCATGGCTGTGGGGCGGAAATTCCAATTCCCCTAACTTGCCAGGTAATGAGACTGAACCACCCAAGCAAGTCCAAAAGGGCTAATGTGCACGTCTCCTGAGGGCCAGGACCACAGAAGGCCAGCTGATAGGCCTCTGCCCGGGAGGGCTTACGGGAGCGGTCAGCACGCAGAAACTTCAAACCCAGTGGCAAAAATGGACAAGGACGACAGTGGGCTCCCCCAAACATTAGCTCACTAAGCTGACCTCCTTAGTCCCTTAAAAATTACATGAGTTTCAAATGAATGAGTCCACTCAGCATCTTACACCTTCTCCCAGTCTTCCTCCTCCTCTACAAATCTGGATTAATAATCCAAAGACCTTCAACTCAGGACATGGGAATCCACAAGACAGTAGAAAGCCCCAAGAAAGGAGAATTTTCGTAGCCAAACCAGTGAGTCCCACCACACTAATTCTTCGTCAAATTGGTTTCAGATCCCAAAAAAGACTCAGGATTATTTTCAGGACAAATTACCAAACCTACTCATTGAACAATCATCAATAAAACCAATCATGGTCCTCCCGTTGTTCATCGATTTGCTCGAGCGGGCCCAGTAACGCCTCCATCACGAGACTTGTTGTTACTGTGTCTGGCATATCGAATACGTCACGGGTAGCTTGCCAGGCTCTGCCGTGCGGGCGAGATACTCTCGGGAGCTTGCCGGGCTCTCCGAGAGGGGCGGAGGAATCGAACTCGGGTCGGCCGTGTTGGCTGCGTGCAAGGCAAACGACCTACCGCTGTGCTATCGCTCCAGCCCATAAAACCAATCACTGTATTAAAATGGGTAGAATCTGAACACATGAACACAAATGTGAACAGCTATCAATGATCCTACTATAGAAAACAAGAACTGAATGATATCCTGAACCCTGAACCAGTATTCCATTTGTTCCAGATTCCTCTGAGGAAGAGGAAACATTACATTCACTCGAGCACCTTTTCCCAAAAGACAGGACACTGACAAGTCTTCACTTTTACCACATTGCTCACAGGACGCTGTGTTCATTTAAAACTCTTTTGCCTAAAAACCAGCGAGGAAAAAAAAAAAAACAGCCAGGAACATTAGTGGGGACTCAGAATGGTCTGCTGGGGCAAGAACTTTTCACCTATCAGAGAAAAGCAACTACATGTTCCAAACCTTCTTCTTTAGCAGAGAGAGGGACTCCTTGATTTTATCAACCAGGTCCTCGCTCTCCCCTTCCAATTTCAGTCCGAGTTTCCACTGCTTGATCCAGCTGTATCTGCTCAGGAGTCTTTCTGGTAACTGGAGTATCAAAAGACAGAGAGAAGGTGGCGTGAACACTGCTCGGAGTCCGCCACACAAGCCACGGTGGAAGCCAGAAAGCATAATGAACCTACCTTTGGTTTCAGAAGAATGCCTATTCCCTCACCACCACCCTTTCATTTCTGAGGGGGAGGGAGTGTGGGCTGTACCCAGTGGTACCTGAGGAACCATACTGTGGTTGCTGAGGACTTTCTGGGTGGTCGCGTGTGAGGCAAGCACCCTGCCTCTTACACTCTCTGTTCAGCTTAATTCCTGTCAACCTGCTGTGGGGATTGCTGTGTGGAGGCCCCTAAATCTGGAAGCCAACAGGTCAGAAAGCACTGGCCTAGGAGGGCTGGACTTGGGGAATGGTAGTTTGGGCTGAAGGCTGAAGACACAGTCTACTCTGGCTCGGGAACATGGTCCCACTCTCAAGATACACTTGATGCGTGTGTTACACTCTACCATGGAGGGGTCCAATCCCCTAGGCCTGGTCACAAAAAGGGCCATGCAGAATGTGAATTGGTCCGGGATAAAGGAAAAGCTGCTTTCCTGATTAGGAAAGAAAATCTAATTTCTGATAACTCATATACACTCAGTTTCACTATTAAAAAGAAATACTGCTGAATCTGGTAGAAGTGTCTGATCAATGAAATAAGATTTTTTAAAAATATAGCTAAGACAGGAAGCCTCGCTTGTTAGAGAAGGGACAGCTGACCTGACTCTGGCTCCCAGCATGTTATTTTGTCATTCTCCCCGACCCCACTCCCCAACCGCCCCCATCATCAATGGAATCTGGCATCTACAAGGCAGGTCAGGACACGTGTGATGGCTGATGGCCTGGGAACAGAAACTCTCCCAGTCGTCGGGTGTGTCAGGAGAAAATCCTGATTAATTAGGTTGGGTACAGGCATGCCCCTTCATTACAGCTCATTCCTGCCATCCGCTGCACAGAACCTGACTGGTCCCAGGGTTACAGAAAGCCTCGGGTACGGCTGCTCTGGCATCTAAATCTGCACCGACTTTCATACATGCTAATTCCAGCTCACTTAGAGCCATCGTATGATGATAAGGTGGTTTCCTCTATGCAAACATAAAAGGGCGGGGAGGGGGTTTGATCATCTTATTATGATAAATGAGCACCCACCCCAGGGTCCCCCAACTTCACAATGTTCTGCACTCTGGACCACGGGGCCATGCTACAAACTTCTATTAGTGTCTCAGGTTCAGTCCCAGAACCAAAAATGCCCTCAAGTAGCAACACACTGAATCACAATTAGACCCAAAGGGCAGCTGGGGGTGTCCAGCAGACCATCATGCATTATCTGAAACAATGAACTCGAAGAGGGAACGACACAGGGAACCCAAGTCCACTTGCTTCCTCCTTCCGCCTACGCCCAGGGTGAAGTGGTGCATTGAACGGCCAGGCTGAGGGCCGCACTGCCTGGGAATGTGGAGGGCCTGGACAAAGTCTTTAAACTGACAGTTCGGGGGAAAACCAAGGGGACAAAAGTGGACGTGGAATTATCTACTCAGAGAAAAATAAAAAAAAGTAAATGACTCTAAACACCTTCACGGGCGAGGACGCAACAACATATTCAAATAGCCTGTCTCCAGGTGCAGGAAGAGAATGGGTTTCTAGACATGAAAGATGTTAAGCAAATGAGGAAAAAAGGTTAAAAAAATGACAAACAGAAATACTTAAGAACTAAGCAGCTAAAACTGGCTTAGGTGTGATTTCATCTTTGAACCATAAAACAAGACTTCTACTTCTCTATCAAGTACTTATGAGTCTTCACATCACCACCTGGAACAAGTGAAAAGATAACAAAAACAAAAACGGATCCCCCAAAAACAAACTCATCAGAAACACAGAGTCTGAAACACACACATCAGAAACACACACAACTCACACATGGCACGGGTTCACCACCCACTGTCATCTTAAAACCGAATGGTCCCTGCCTGTTCAGGGAGCCAGGTGCTGTCCTGACCGTTCCTGACCGTTCCAACAGCCAAACCAGCATCGCAAAGTTTAGAGTCAAGCTCAGACGGTCCTTTTGTGGGTCAACTCTGGAACTGGAATCCGGATGGGAGCAGCACCCAGGAAGCCAAAGGTAGACAACAGGAAGTGTTGCGGTGGGGAGGGGTGGCAAGGTCAGAGGGCAGCAAAAGCCAAGCTCAAGTCTATGAAGAGAGGAAGGCCAGAGGAATGCCTGCACACCAAGTGTGTTTCACGAGGGGAACTGCTCAAGAACAGAAGCAGGGAGAGCCAGCGGAAAGGGATGTGCCCGTGAGTAACGGAAGACCTTTCTCTGGCCACCGGAGCTCTTGATAAAACAACCTTCAATAAAGGTCCAGGGTGCTGCTGGAGGGGTGTCAGGCCCAGCTACACTCAGAGCTGCGATGCGGGTAAATGATGGGCCAGGGAGGCTCAGGAGAGCCTAATAAGTCTCCAACTATATTCCTATCAACCTACCCGCCAAGAGCTGCCTTTCTGTGTCCCAGAAGTAGATTTACTCCATGGTATTTGTTCCATAACCCTGCAACAGGCATTTCAGAAAAGACAGGGAGACAGTGCCACCCCATTAGCCAGAGTCCAGACCGAGCATTTGCCCTCACAAGCCCTCCTGCTCTCAGACAATGATCCAAGTTCTAACAGCAAGCATTGCTAGGACAGGGACTCGCTTTGTTTCCCGAACACAGATTTCCTTGTGGACTAGAAAGCCGTGAGGGCCTGCACATATGCTCACACACAAAAGCCTAGTGCCACCCAGTACCCTGAGTCTCTGGGAGTGATGCCCCAAAGCCAAAACAAGGCGAGAGTGAGTTTCTTGTGATATGGCAATCAAGTTAAGGAAGGAGCACTTGGATTCCAGTCCTGTGTGGAGCAAATGTTAGTACCTGGAAATGTAGGAGACCCCACACGGGAGACACACGGCCAACCACAACCCAAAGCCCTTCCATGCTGGCCCCTGTTATAGGGCACAAGTAGGGAAGCTGCCATCTCAGGTCTCAGAGGTGTCACACAAAACTCTGTGCAGAGAAAGGACTGAAACCACGGGAGAGGACTACAGAGTGAATGAAGGGCAAGGCCTGTGAGGATGGAAGAGTTCTGATCTTGGCTGACACTGAGCAGAACAGAAGGGAGCAAACCCAAGTACTGAGCTCACGGCAGGGCTGTACTTCTCGCTCTGACACGGAGTCTCGGTGTTTACAAGGTAACACAAGAACGTTACCACTACTAGAAAATAACATAACATGAGACTGACAGCCAAGGACAGTAGACACAAGGGCCAGGAATACTGCCCCATAGTTGGAAGTAGATAAAAAACCAAAAGTGGTAACCGCTCACTATCTGTATTGCAAACCATGATGCCCAAAAGCAGAGAGGGGCTGGAGCGATAGCACAGTAGGTAGGGCATTTGCCTTGCACGCGGCCGACCCAGGTTCGATTCCCAGCATCCCATATGGTCCCCTGAGCACACCCAGGAGTAATTCCTGAGTGCAGAGCCAGTACCACTGTGCATTGCCAGGTGTGACCCTAAAAGGAAAAAAACACAAACAAAAGTAGAGAGAGAGAGAGTATGGGGAAAAATGTCTGCCATGGAGGCAAGGGGAGGATTGGAAAGGGGGGGAAGCGGAGGGGGCGGGGGGTTACTGGGGACATTAGTGGTGGAGAATGTGCACTGGTGGAGGGATGGGTATTTGATCATTGTATGCTAGAAACTCAAACATGAAAGCTTGTATCTCAAGGTCTGTAGCACTGTCCTCCTGCTGTTCATCCTCGAGCAGGCCCAATAACGTCTCCATCGTGAGACTTGTTGTTACTGTGTTTGGCATACTGAATATGTCATGGGTAGCTTGCCAGGTCATTCAATTAAAAAAAAAAAAAGAGCATTACCACTGTCATCAGGGTGTCAGGCTGAGCGCTCACAGAAAATCTGCACCTACTGGGTGACAGCCAGGAAAAGCCAAGAGAGAAAGCTGGGGAACATGGCCACTATTCTCACACCACTGAGCAGAGGCCAGGAAGATCACAGGAATGGGACAGCCTAAAACTGACCAGACACAGAGCACAATCACCGCAGCTACTGAGAAAAGGCGAGAGAGCCTCTCGGGGTCAGTAACGGCGAAGGACACTGTTGACTCTAAACAGGGTCTAGTTTATGTTCACAGGGAACAGAACTGGCTCTCAGAGTTTCTTTGAAAGTACAAAAATTCAAATTTGCTATATCAGTTAAGTCCATAAAAAGTGCATCAAACGCAAAGGCTCAAAGGAAACCTCTGTCTAAAGTGGAGGAAGACTTTATGTCATGATTCGTATATCCAGCTACAGTTCTCGATCCCAAAAATCAAAGCAAGAACTGGTGAAGTCCTTCGTGCTCGCTCCTCTAGCAATGCTTCCAGTGCCGGGCAGGCTCTGGCAGGCCAGTCAACAATTCATAATACATGGCAAGATTTGCAGAGGAGTATTACTGAAAGTAACAATTTCCTCTCTCTTTCTGTAGTATGTAATATATGCATTTTCTTAAGAGAAACCTGCTTAAGGAAGCTTTGCTTACAAGAGACCATTTAGATAGTTTCTCCAAGTCCGACTTTACACTGGTTCATAAGACGGATAACCAAGGACAGACCTACAGGACCCTCTGGAGCTCTGGTTTTGTCCTATGGGGTCAGGGGACCCCTTGTGTCCACCTACCAGGAAGGTCTCCGGCATTCCAGGCCAGTGCCCCATTCCACAATGCCACCTACACTGAGGGCTGGGACACACATGCCCTTGGTGTTATGAATGGACTCAGCACAGGACGGCCACCACGTGTGAGGAGCACTCCCTGCCACTCACCCCCTGCCTGTCACTGTCAAGGGATCCAGCTCCACCTGTCAAAGTCCTCAAGCCCCCTTTTCCCTTCCTAAGCTGCCATTAAGGAATATCTCCAACTCTCAGTACTAGACTTCTAATTTTCCTTTGGGTTTGGTGCTATTCACCACAGAACGGGGGTAGAAGCTGGAACTCCTGCATGCAAAGCATGTACTCGGCCTGCTGAGCCCTCTGACCAAAACTTGATTTTCTTCCAATTCTTGTCACACTGTCTGTGCTATCCAGTCACTGTCACCCACCACGCAGCCTCTCCGCGATCTCTTCTGATGTGTCTCTAAGACCTCCTAGGATATAGCTCTCACACCGCATCCTGAAAACTCCAGAGGGGCAGAGCCCTCCCTCAGCCTCTCAGGGTGCCTTTACCTCTTTCTCTTCCAGGGTTGCCATCCAGTCCTGCCAACACTCTGCAGGAGGGGCTAATTTCTTGGTTATGGGCAGGATCAGTAGAAATATACATTCTAACCCCCTGGCAAGTTCTCAAAGAGTACAACGCAGCCCACTTAATATAAACCCCAACACTGAAGTCAGACTGTTCCAATGTGCTTTTCACCAAGTCCAAGTACCAGCCCTCTAATTCAGTAGAACTGCTCAGATCTGACTATTTTATCTTCTGGGAAGTCTTGACTAGTTTTAACTTTTTTTTTTTGGAAGGGGGAGGGGGAAGGTGGGGGGAGGCTGAGTCTCACTCAGTGGAGCTCAGCATACCCTGGCTCTTTGCTCAGTAATCATTCCTGGTGGAGCTCAGGGGACCCTACGGGATGCCAGGGATAGACCCCGGGTTGGCTGTGAGCAAGGCAAGCATCTGGCCCACCACAGTATCTCTTTAGCCCTAGTACTGATGTTTGGGTTGCTTTACTAGGACAAGTCACCTGGCCTCCCCAAGCTACAAGGCCCTGTGTCAATGTGGCACTGGGCAGCAGGGGCGCCCCGCAGACAGGAGAGGCAACCTCACTCGGAAACAGGGGACAGCGCAGACTCCAACCTGCAGAGGCAGCGTACCAGCGTGAGCTCCGGGTCCTGCAGCCACGTGGGCGGGTCCGAAGGATGGCTCATGGCTTGGAAGAGTGTGGCTCTCAGCGCACAATAATTGTCTCCTCGGACTCGCCGGATGGAGGTGAATTTTTGAGACACCTCCTCGTAGCCCTGGGGGAAAGCAGCCAAGAAGTCAGATTGGTCTTCAGCTGGTGTCGCGTTTTATTCCTATGGGGGAAATGAAGGCTGGAGGAAGGGAGAGAGAACTGGTTGAGTCCTTGGGAAGAGGCACTCGGACTCCTGTCTACCCAAAGGAAGCAAACATCAACACCACGGAAAAAACAATAAGCAGACAGGAATATAGCAAGCATCGCTAAAGCAGGAATCCCCCTCGGAGCTGGAGTTACTGACCCTGAAACAGGTATGAGGGGCACTAGGCACCCAAAAAGCTGAAACTGCGTTGACTTTCTGGAGGATGCAGGATCTCCCCAGTGTGCTCAGAAAGCCCGCCCCGCCCCGCCCTACCCTTAGTAATTCTCAGAGGCTCCTGAGAACAAGAGGATGCAGCACTCCTCAGGTGCTGCCTCAGGCAGCTCTCGGGGGACTGCAGTGCCAGATTCAAACCAGGACCAGCCGAATGCCTTAAGCCCTGAATCCAGACATTAAGAAAAAGTAATCTGAGGAAATAACCTTTCCAGCCCCAAAACCTGCATAACTTTTGATTCCCCCAAATCTTAACTACTTAAAAGTCTGTCAGTGTGCAGGGCATTTATTTGCCTTGCATGCAGCCAACCTGGGTTCGATCCTTAAGATTCATATGGTCCCCAAGTACCTCCAGGAGTAATCCCTGAATGCAGAGGCAGGAATAAGTAATCCCTGATCATCACAGGGTGTGGCCCCAAAGCAAAAACTAAAAAATTAAAAAGTCTACATGCTAGATGCCTGCGTCATTCTGTCCGACTTTCATAAATAGTGAACTGAAGTGTCATTCTTGCTCAGCCTGGAAGTGAAACGAGGAAATGAAAATGCTGGTGACAGGCTCAGTCCCTCAGATCTAGTCATGCACACAACATGTGCGCCTAACAGAGACCATTGATGATCCGCCTTGTCAGGCAGACGCAGCTTAGACACAGGGATCCTTGGGACCCACGCCTCGACCTCTCCTCCTGACTGTCGCCAGTCCTCTTGGTCTGTGGGTGCCTCAGTCATAGGCTCAGAGCACTGCCAGACATAGGTGTCACTCTTCCCCCAGGGGCTACCACACAGACACGCTTGCCCCATCCTATGGCCAAGAAGAGGACCCTCACTCTCAATCATTTTTAGTCAGGATGGTGTTCTCTTTTCAATGAGGAACTGCTGAGCACTGGACTTTCACTGAGTGGTACCCCACTGTAACCTGCAAGGACGTCTCTCAAGCAGGCACGTGTCTACCCTTGTGGAACTCTTCCAACTGTTGACCCGGGTTTCTCCAGGAATAATAATATGATTAATTCAATCATAAGCACTTCTTTCCAAGACCTTTCTTACTTGGGATCAAATTCCTTTGGTTAAAGCTGACATATTTAAACAATGTGTCTGTGTATATTTGTTACAATGTGACATTTTTAACTTGTATTTTTATATAAAATAAGCTAGAGTCCCAACCTAAAACTAAACTATAGAAAAGAAGTTTTAATTAAATTTGGAGTTCTGAACAAGGATCCAAGGCATCCTGGATCTTTTGGCCACTGACAAGAGCCCAAAGGCAGGAACAATTTTCTCTTACACTAAAGTCACAGAGAAATTATTTTAACAATGAGTTCCGAAACATGGGCAGTCACGGTCCTCCCGTTGTTCATCAATTTGCTCGAGCGGGCCCAGTAACGTCTCCATTGGAGACTTTGTTGCTACTGTATTTGGCATATCGAATACATCACGGGTAGCTTGCCAGGCTCAGCCGTGCGGGCGAGATACTCTCGGTAGCTTGCCGGGCTCTCCGAGAGGGGCGGAGGAATTGAACTTGGGTCGGCCATGTTGGCCGCTTGTAAGGCGAACGCCCTACCCGCTATGCTATCGCTCCAGCCCCCGAAACATGGGATATCTGAATAATTTAACAGACATCTCCCAACTATAGCTTTTAAGGTGCCAAATGTTAGAACAAACCCTTTTAAAAAGACAACGACTGAAGTCATAAATAAAATTGTTAGGTTGATCTCAGTATTTCTGGGGAAGATGTGTAAAACAATTTAAAGAGCTGGCTCTCAGGCCACCTGGTGTGTCATCGAGCTGAAGACTGCAAGAGGCGAGAGGGCTGTGACGCATTTCAGCACATGGTTCCAGTCATTCTAAATGTCCCTGACTTCCAGCAAGGCCTGTGGGTCCCTGGTAGATCATGGGGAAGTTCACCAAGTCCCTGAGACACAGTCTACTCCAGTCCAGACTCACAGGGAGCCAAGCTGGAGAAGTGGCAGTGCCTCAATGAAATGGGCAGTTCCACACCTCTCCACATAGGAGGTCTCTATCTCAAGACTAGAGGGCATGAAAGCAAACCTAACGGGAGCAGAGCAGGTATGGTATCTTCCACCCAGAGACTTGTACCACACTAAGTCATGGCGGTTCTGCAGATCAGTAACCAGATTTGACTGAAACTAAAGCTGACTGGGCCGGAGTAATAGTACAGCAGGGAGGGCGTTTGATGGGCACGTGGCCAACCAGGGTTCGTCCCCAGCGACCCATATGATCCCTCAAGCACTGTCAGGAGTAATTCCTGAGTGCAGAGCCAGGAGTAACCCCTGAGCATCGCTGGGTACGACCCAAAAAGAAAAAGAGAAGAAGAAAGGGAAAAAGAAAAAACCTGACACTGATTCTGCAAGAATCCTGTGACTAGAAACCCTGACTGTGGAGCCTGTTTCCTTATCTAAAAATAAGAGCACCAACATTTACATGGTCCTAACCATCTAAAAATATAAAAGGATGTGTCTGTTATGACAGACTACTACAAAGATAGGGAATGTGTGCGTCCAAATGACCTACCTTTTTCATACATGTTGCTTTATCTGTATTTCCCCTCCATTCTTTTTTGCAGTAGTCCATGATATCCATTTCAGGAGCGATACTCAACCTGAGATCTAAGATAAAAAAAAAAAGAGGGAGGAAGAAATAATGAACTGTAAAATCAGAATCAAGGTACTGCTCTATTTGGAGTTACTTTCTCTCTCACTTCCTCCCTGCCTCCACCTTCCCAAGATTCCAGAATCCCATCCCTGCCTACCACTAGATCCAGATCAACACAGTGGTCCCCCACTGGGTCACCCTTATCACCACACCCTGCCAACATTCTCTATTCGGCAGCCAGTGGGATGTACTTAACACCTAGGTCAGACAAAGTCCCTCCCTCCCAGCTCGAAGAGGACAGGGGTGTCCCCCATTTCAGGATGCCTTTCTTAGCCTTATCACCTACATAAGGTTCCAGCCAGGTCCCCTGGACCCACCTGACTGCTCCCTCCCACACTCCTCTTTCCCTGGTCTTTCCTGGGTAGGTGGTATGGTGCCCTCACTCTAAGCAAGTGTCTGCTAAATGCCACCCCAACATGCCTCTGTTCCGGCATCACACACACACACACACACACACACACACACACACACACACACACACACTCACACAGTCACTCCATTCACCTTCCAGGCTTTCCTGTCTCCTTCTGGCACCTATCAGGAGGACACTGAGTTGAGCAGAGCTCTCTGGACCAGGGGTGTTGTTTTCCTCGGAATCTGTCCTCAACATCTGGACTGCACAGACCTGGGTATCCCTGGATAGAATTCTAACCAAAGGAAAGATGGAAGAGCAGGGCTGGGAGAACATGCACCCACCAGTGCGTAATCCACAGTTGGCACTGTGAGAGAGAGTATCTCTGCAGCCGCAAGCATGTCTGCTGTCCCCTGATTCCAAAGGGCTGTGAAGTTCTGATAACGAGCCAGAAACTGAGAGTGCTCAATGAGCAGGAACTACAAACCTGTCCTGGCCAACACTTCCTCAAATGAAACATATAACTTACGATCAAATAACACAACGAAAAAAGGGAAAAAATGTCTTGAGATTTCCTTTGTTTAACCTGAGGTTTGGGGTTTGATTCTGTGGTATAAGCATTACACGCACCCACATTTACGTGTATGTGTGAAGTAAACCTTCTGCCTATCTTCATGGTTTTACATTTTGAAGAAGTTAGCAAAGCAATTAAGATACAGACACAGAAGTGTCTTACAACATATTTACTTCTGAGGAAGTTGTACACAAAGTTTTAAATGTTATATTCCGCTCAACTGATATTTACTGAGAATCTAATATGTGCTAAGCACAAAGTAGGCACCAAGGACAAAGAAGTGAGGAAGAGGCAGGTTCTGTCCTGAGAGGGTCTGAGAGAGTGCAGAAGGTAAAGGCGACTCTGCCATGGCAGGCAGGCTGCTGGCAAGACTGAGCAAGGGGCACAGAGGAACAGCCATGAAATCCCAGCCAGGTGTCTGGGTAAATTTAAATGTTTAAATGCAAACGCTCTGAATTTCCTTCATTTTTCTCAAACCCCATTGTGAACCCTTTCAATTAGACTTTTATCTAAAAGCGTTCATAAAGATCACAGAGATCTATTGTCTGATCGTTAGGATTGGCTTAAAGTGAATCAAACTGCTGATACACCGAGACCACAAGGAACAATGGTACACATCAAATCCTAAAACCAAGAGCCCTCATGTCCCAACTCACCAAACATGTCCTGAGTGTCCCTTCAGTAAGGAAGAGTTAGCCATCTGATCGCTGCCCTCGATACTTACCACTCACTGCACGCACACAGAACACAGAATCGGGACAGTCACTGGACCACACTCTGCCACCAGACAGGGCTCAGAACAGAGTCTACCTGCAGCTCAGGAAGTGCCTCAGAGGAGCCAGTCAGCTTCCTGCCCCTCATCACAGTCCCCATTCCAGCCCTTCCCGCACACGTCATCAGCAGAAGAGTTAGTGCTGTGAGGCCAGCAGGCCATAGGCTTAGGATGGAGGGAGGCAACAGGGAACTTGCCTGGGCTACCAGGCTATCTGCGAGGGACAGCTGCTACCCTCGAAAAGACTCCCAGTCCCCTCCCACAGCAGTTGTTCAGGAAGAGGCTCTGGCAGCCCCCATAGGCCTGCCCCTCGCAGTGCCAGGAGCTGTGTCACAGGGTCTCTCAGTGGCTCTCTTACACTGACGCTCTCTGCTGAGGACTCAACTAATGGGAAGGGAAGGGACAGAATGGGACTGGCAAGGGCAACACACAAGAAAGAAAGGGGAGGACAGAAAGAGGTAAAGCAATGGTCAAAAGGAAAGCGGAAAACCAGTGGTGAGAAAGCTGTACCAGAGGCTGAAATAAGACTCACTCTGACCCACCAGACGACGACAAAAATGAGGTTTAGACCATCTAAAGGGGAAAGAGTTAAAAGTTACCCGCCTCTAGCAACTTGGACTCCTCCTCAGAAGGGGGGTGAAGGCAAGAACAGAAAGTTCTCTCAGCAGGGGGCCAGGCTCTCTAACACAGTCTTCGAGATCCGGAGACTATCTTGAGAACCATGTGTGATATCAAGCCAGATCACTGAGACAGTAAGTCAACAGCAAGCTCCCCCCAAACTGGACTAAATAATGAGATGGCAATGCAGCCTACCCAAGGAGCATGGTCTGCTGAGCCCTCAAATTGATGAAACAAAAACTCTGACAAGGAATTCTATGGAAATTCTATCTCCCACTGAGCACTAGCCTGCAGGAGAGAAATTGCCTGAGAACAGAGTGTCAGGGGGCGAATTCAGGCTAATCCCTGCACCAAGCTGGAAAAACTATCAATAATAAGTGCTTCAAGGTAGGTGAAACCTCGGTGCCCAGGAAAAACCACAAACTCTACCAGAGCATAAGCTGAGCGTACAATCCAAACTCTGAAGAAACAAAAAGAAACGAAAGAAATAATATTTAAGAGCAAAGAGCAATACATAATCAGAAAGACTAGAAAACCTAATGGGAAAATAAAACCTTCCCAAATAGAAATTTAAAAAAAAAAACTGAAGTTGATGGCCGTGGGGAGCAGAGAGTAAGACAGGACACAGATGTGACAAGGTGTAACTGAAGCGCTGGCGACTGAAACAGGACTAGCAAAAAACTCATTTGACTTCAAGAAAGAGTAAAACACGAAATAGGAAATTTTCAAAAAGACAGTGGACAAGAATTCTCCTGATTTGGTGAAAGTAGAAACCAAGGTATACTGGAGAGAGCACTTCATGAGCTGAACAGATGTTCTGCAGCAAAAGGCCTATGTTCCTAAGTCCCTGACAGCACCTCCAGGAGTGACCCCCAAACACAGGGATAAGCAAAGCACCCCACAATGTTGGGTGTGTCCACACCCCAAAAAAGACAAAAAGTAAAGATGCTTCAAACAAAATGTCAACAAAAACAAAAAGAATTCATACTTAAAAACCATCAAGGAAAATGGCAGAACACCAAAGTCAAATAGGAGACATACCCAGGACCCAACCGAATGCAGTAATTCCAACTACAATAGACATCTTAAATCAATGCAATCAAATCCCCAAAAATATTAGCAAAACCAACTTGATCTTGAGTTAATGAAGAAAAAAAAGTGAAGCAAGGGAATTTCTAAGAGGCTTCCTACCAAGACCCAGAGGCCACAAGTCCAGAGGGGCTGCTATCCAGGAATGCACACAATCCACTGAAAAGTTAAGGCCCCTGCTTCAAGCTACGCTGGGGAAGAGGAGGCAATGGAGAAAGAGACAAAGAACCAGCAGAGGAATGGAGAAAGCAGGAGAGCTCTGCCCTGCTTTGGGACTTAAGGACAACTGGGGTGCTTCTCTTCAGAACCTGGTTCAAGGCTCTGCAGCCTAAGAAGGCTGTGTGGAATCTTCTAAGAGCCACTGAGGCTGAAACAGAAGGGTCCAGGAACACAACTACACCTGGACTGGACCACTGAGAAACGTCCCCTGTGGTTCTGTGGCGGGAATTCCACCAACTCCTGGTGAGGACAGAGGTCAATCTTAAAAATCCCACTTCGTTTCTGTTTCCTAATTGCATATGAGACAGTACTCTTGTAAGCAGAAGCTAGTCCTCAAAGCAAACCCGCAGAACACACTTTACACCAGTAACATGAGAAATGTGATTTCCAGTGTCCCTTGGCCTTGCTCAAGGCTAGCTGGAGGAAGGAAGAGGCACTTTTCCTAGCCAAGCAGAGAAAGGGCAGGCAGGACTGAGCAGAAACAAGAGAGAAGCATTAGTGCTGCACCTCCCTTGGGCCCTTATTCTTTCAAGAACAAACTCACATGGTCATCTGAGCAGAGACGATGGACCCAACCTCTCAGTGAGCCCTCCTTCCTCTGGAGAGGAAAACTGCATTTCAAGTCCAAATCGAAATGTCCCAAAGAATAAAAGGAATCAAGAACTGAGAGGTCACCAAGAGATGAAACACATGCTCAGAGGTACAAACAGTGATAGAAACGTCAAGAATGCAGGGAGAAGAGCTGGACTAGAACAGGAAGCTTCAGACAACAGGGGGCTTCCCCAAGCTTACCTCAGCAAGCCCAATGAGCAGCTCTACCTCAAATCCTGAGTACAGAATGTCTGCCAGGAAGGGCATCTCAGCATTTTATAAAAGTGGGTTTAACTGCATGTTCCATAATAATAAGAGCGCTAAAAATCAGTTCCAAACATACCTGATGACCCCCTTTCCTGTATTAGTAATTCTTTCTCCTTTTCTATTTCATCCGCATCACGATACATGTCCTCCTCCCTGAAATCACACCAAATCAGACATTTCAAAAAGACGTTGCATGAACATTATCCTCAACATAATATACACCCGCTTACAAACAGTACACAACACTTACATTTGTGAGTTTGCTCACATTACAGCTGACAGTCTGACAGAACGCAGGTCTGACGCCTTACATGCTCAAGTTTCCATCGCTCCACCACTGCGTTGCTTTAAGTAAGATCTCTAAGGCCACTCCAGTTGCGACCTGGCTCTGGGGCCATTTTCATCATTACATTAATGCCTCAACTAGGTACGTAAGTGTTCCAGCACATATCTTACCAGTCAAGCCCTGACATGATTCTAGCAGGTTCCAAAAATGGACATAGGACTAATACCAACTTTAGTATGTCATAAGCAAGTTTTACAAAAGCTACACAAAACATCAGGATAGAACATTATTAACTACTGTAAGTCAGAGCTGAGTCCCCAGGGCACCCCGTGGCCCCCAGCCACAAGTATATCCTTACTGCCTCACATATCTGAGTCTCTACTACTCCTGACATGGTACTCGCACAGGCAACTCCTCAAGAGTGTCTAATCTCAGTTACTGAACAAACAAGAACCACTGAGTACTAGAATGAGAGAAAACCCCGAAAGGTGCTCAACAAAGATGAAGGAGATGCCTGGTTCAAAGGTTCCTCCCTTTGGACACTGACAGTGGCGGAAATCACGGAGACACCTGGATAGCCCAGTGAGCCCAAAGAGAGGAACCGGGACTGGAGTTCGTTGGAAAAGCACAGAACCTGCAGCTGTGCGGCTCTAAGGTTCAATGCCTGGCAGCACAAAACCAATGGAGGAAGATGTGGTTAAGTGTCAGAAGTCTGTCAGGGACCCCCTGATGCTGACTGGCATGAACCTGAAGGCAAACCAGGAAACCTGTCACGTCAAGAAAGTCTCAGGAACTGCATGTGCCAAGTATCTTCAGACAGTCCATGAGTGAGACCTGAGCTGAAAACAGGGCCTGAGATAAATGGATAGAGAGTAATGAGACCCTCAATGCCTGGACTCTCTCCTTATGGCAGCACCCCTGTCCCACTCCAACCCCTGGAGACACACACACACACACACACACACACACGAAACACAACAGCATGTATGTTGCTGAAAATGGAAGTATACTGTCTTCTCCAGTGCAATGGGACATTCTCTACACTGGGTCCCATCTCCACAAAAGCAAGAAGACAGAAGTCGTATCAACTATCTTCTCACACTGCCATGCTTTGAAAATGACAAACAGAAACCAGTGGGGGTGGGGTTAAACCTAACCCTTTGGAAATTAAACCAAAAAAAAACAAAATTTTAATTTCCCGAATCAAAAAATGAATTAAAAAAAGCTCTGAAAAATAAAATATACATAGAAAAGGGAGTAACAACTGGCCAAAGGCAACAGAACTGTCAGACTGGGTCATAGAACTGAGTTTATCTGGGGGGAAGGAAATGAAGAGGGTAGAGGCAGTCTCCATCTGTGGGACACTGGGGGACAGGAGGGGTGACCTCTGGAATAATGGATGCATGAAACTAGCATTAACAGCATGAAAATCACGGTGCCTATAAAAGATAAAGCTTCCCAACTAAAAAAAAAAAAAGAAGAAAGAAAAGAAAAGAAAATCACGGTGCCTCAATAGCAACAGGAGCAAAAATAAAGATATGGCACCCAACGTGGAAAGAAAAAGATGAGAGGATCCTGGCACAATGAACGCCAGAAGGCAGCATTAAGAAGGTTCGTGGAATATGTGGACAAGCCAGGGGTACAAGTCGGAGTTTGTGCTGCAGACCTGTGAGTCAGACTGTAAAGGTTTAACCGCCCCACATTCTAGCTCGTCTTCTGTTGTGTGGGAGCATGGAACTGAAGTAACTGAACCTGGGACCAGAGAGATGGCACAGTGGGCTGAAGCATGACCACCTTCCATCCCTTGGCAACCTACAGTCCCCTGAGCACAGCCAGGAGTATCCCTGGATCAATCCCCAAGCCAATACATGAAATGACTACACCTCTCAGCCCCTAAAGTTAATCACCAGCAGAAAGGGTGGGAAGAAACCGCATCTCAAAAAGTATGAAAACAGACACATGAATAGTTTAGCACCAAAAAAGCCAGCTTTTCTAATCAATTCCCATTGATGTAGGGTAAAGGTAAAGGTAAAGGCCCTCCCGTTGATCGTCGATTTGCTCGAGCGGGCCCAGTAACGTCTCCATTGGAGACTTTGTTGTTACTGTGTCTGGCATATCGAATACTCTCGGTAGCTTGCCGGGCTCTCTGAGAGGGGCGGAGGAATCGAACTCGGGTCGGCCATGTTGGCTGCGTGCAAGGCAAACACCCTACCCGCTGTGCTATCGCTCCAGCCCTCCCATTGATGTAATATAAATAACTTTCCCAATATTGATCCTTATCCCCTTTTTCTCTCTCCAATCTGAGGTTCCCAAACTTACTTGCCCAACTCTTTTCGGTGGGGAGGGAGAGGATCACACAGCACCCGTCTAAAACGCTACTGTTTTCAAGTAAACAAAAAGTGCCCCCCTTTCTAACAGCACCAGAGGCTACTAACACCCCTTCCCTCCATAGGTGCAGTACCCTCTGGGAGCGGTATCACTCACTCTGAAATCAGTGCTCTAAATGTAGGTGGAGATAAGGGTGTGCACTGACTTTTTTTAATGTTATGGGGGTGAAAGGACATTATTAAGGAAAAGGTACTTTCCATGTGCTCAGTGAAATTTCAACTAAAAGGTGTGATGTCAGCCAGGGAACCCGTGCCAGTTAAAAACAAACAGGAACCAGAGTCACTGGGACTATACATGAAATACCTAAAAATACAAAGTGACTAAATGGGTGAGTTCCTCTTTCCCTGATTTCATCTTCCAACCTCTAACTAGCTTTATCACACAGAAATTCTGATCCTATAAAACAGCTATTTAAGTGAAGCACTTTCTTACTTGCACATCAGAAGCACGCTTTGCAGCAAGTTACTTCCTTAATTTAGCCTCAGTTCTCTCATCTCCAAAATGAGAAAGCTGGCCAGTTTCTGTATGATTCGTAGTTCCTCTTTCACTTTTTAGTTCTAACAGCCTATACGTGAAACTATTCATTAAAAATCGTAGTAGGGGCTGGAGCAACTGTATAGCAGGTAGGGCACTTGCGTTGCATGCATCTGACACAGGTTCAATCCCCACCACCCCAGGTGGTCTCCCAAGCACTGCCGAGAGTGATTTCTGATCACAGAGACAGGATTAAACCCTGAGCACCACTGGGTATGGCCCCAAAAGTTATAAATTGTACTCCAGAGCCAAAGAAAGCTCACAAGGCGGATTACGTACTTCACCTGAGTTGGATCCCCAACACCACATGCGCCACTGAGCACCACTGGGAATAAACCCTAAGCACAAAACTAGGAGTAGCTCCTAAGTACTTCTAGGTGGTCCAAATCGCCCTCGCCCACCTCTCAAACATACAAAAATTATACCCTAAGCAAATGCCACAGCTACACTGCATGTACAACTGTCTCCCTTCTGACTTCCTTTTCAATCTATCAAACTACCAAAGTGTAATCAAAACACCAGTATCCAGAGGAGAATTTCTGAACAACCATTTCTATAATTGCGAAAAGAAATTCCCACAAAAGTGTACAGGAAAGAAACAGAATGACATCAATAGATAGAACTAAATGCAGATTCCAAGACACACAAAAGTACAAAAATTAATGGATCACAAGTTCAATGAACATTTAAATTACTTTATCCAGAACTTGATTTCATTCAGATCCTGTGCACCAGTGTCTGCCAATTTCCATGAACACAAGGACACATACCAAGGACATCTGCTAAGTTTCCAAGGTGACCAAGGCAACTGTAATATAGTCTTTACCACTTGCCACCATAAAACTGTCCAAAAGCTCTACCTCCTTGGAGATGGGACTATGTTTCAAGTTTAAGCAACCAAGCACAATCAAGTTGGTCAGAAAAAAAGATTAATGACTAAAATGAACTACTTATCCACTATTTATTCAGGAAGCTCCCAAACTTACTTCATCTACAGCTCCCCCTTTTCAGATTAAAGAAAAAAAAAACTCAATGCACCACCTGGAAATCTACCTTCTTTAAACAAAAACAAACAAACAAAAACCCAGAAAGGGTCCCTAAATTGCAAACAGAGATACCACGCATATGGTTCCAGTGCTCCTGGGGGTGAGTGGAGGGGCAGGAGCACCTACTTTGGGAGACACCAGTCAAATATAAGAACAATCAAGTGAAAGGGGATTAAGGAGGGAAGGAGGTATGAGAACAGCACAGAGTCTCCTGCCCCCGCACCTGGCTGTCCTCACCGGGGCCTCTTGGAGGGGAGCGAGTTGAGTTTCCCTCCCCAACCCAACCAGGGCTCCGGCAGCCGAAGACCTCCAGAACCAGCCACCACTATGCTGAGATCACTCTCCACATACATGAAGGTACCGGCAGAGGAACAAAGGCATGCGGGTCCCAGGGCTGAGATCTCCAAGCCTGCTCGGATCGGGGCTGAGCATCCTCCACCCAGATCCTCCACCTACCAGTAGGCAGCGGTGACACCCACCAACTGGCCCCCTAGCGCCATGCAATCCCGTCAACGACCAAGACCCAGAGACTATGAAACCCAGATACCGGAAGCGTGCGGCCGCATTCGCAGCTTCGAGACATCTTATTATCTCATCCTTGCTTTGGACAAACTGGCAGGCTACCGAATGTAACCTGCCCACACGGCAGAGTCTGGCAAACTCCCCGTGGTGTACCCCAATATGCCAAATACCAATAACAATGACGAGTCTCATTCTCCCAACCCTGAGCCTTGAATATGGAACATTTAAAAAAATCTCAGAGCTAGGACGAGGAGACGTTACTGGGGCCTGCTCAAGGGAATCGACAAACAACAGAATGGTCGTGATCGTGAATTTAATTAGAAAATTAAATTTTTGATGAAGTCAGGAATATGAAATAGCTGTGGCTTGATTTAAATGTTTGGTAATGGAATGATGTGGAAAGACCGGAAAACAGGATGGTACATGTTAAGATAAAAATATAACTGGGTAGGGGGGTGGGGTTTTATTGGGGTTCTTCATGGGAAAAAATAAGTATTGGTAAAGGGAAATGTGTTTGATATTTGCATGACTGAGACATAAACCTGAAAGCTTTGTAACCTTTCCCACAGTGATTCAATAAATAAATTAAAAAAAATATATATATAACTGGGTAACAGCTCTGTACCTCTCTTTCCTCTCCCCTCCCTCCTACCTTTCCTCCTCCCCTCTCTCCTCCCTCCCCCACCCCCACCCCCACTTCTCTCTCACATCTATCTGTGCTCAGGGATTACTTCTGGCTCTGCACTCTGGGATCACTCCTGGCAATGTTCAGGGGACCATATGGGGTGCCAAGGATCCAACGTGGGTTGGCTGCATGCAAGTCAAGAGCTTTATCCCTGTACTACCTCTCCCCCTACCGACCCCATGTTCTCTTAAGCTAAAAACAAAATTTGTTATTATGATACTATAGAGCTTGAAAAAGTTATATACACTAAGCTTTCCCTCTTGCTTTTTTCAAAGACTTGTGCAATAATTAAATTTTGGAAAACTTTTTTTAAAACTGTACTACATATATTCCCTTAGGATTACCTACCTACACACACACACACACACACAATCAGACAGGCCTGCACCCATATATCCATACACATATACCCATGTGTGTATGTATGTATGTATATGCACACATACACTTCCCAAGAACAAAAGCTGTTTGCTAAATCCAAAGAGTAGTAAAGAAGACATTTGTGAACTCAATTTTTTTTCAATTTTGCTTCAAGTAAACATACACTATGAACAGGTCAATTCTAATATCTTTGCAAAGATGTCACTCACCATTGTGAACCTTTGCGTCAAGTTCCCACTGATTCACTAAAGAGCTAAACAGAACAAACTGGTTCAGCTTTACGGACCTGAGCACTGCAACTCTCAGCTTAACTCCCACTTAACTCAGCCTGAACTGAGGGGATGTTGGCGAGACAATGTCAACCAATGTGACCCCACTGGCCTCTCCACCCAGTTACAGACTAGAAAAGCAAAGACCACTCAACCTTCCTCCACCATTCCAATTTTATAGAGACAAACGAAAACACACCAAATGCAGGAAAGTACCGGCAGCCCGGCCAAAATTCCAACTCCCTCCTGCAAGTGGACTTTCCGGATTGGCTCATGCACTCCACAGGACTTCTAGAGATAACTGGGGACATCCCAGCCACCCTCGATACAAAGGTTTGCTTCTCTAGAGAGCCCAGCTCCAGACCCAAATGAAAGGTCCCCATCATCAGACAAGCCTTATTCCTCACCCCCACAATACCATGGAGGAGGGCAGGAAATCAGTCTCAAGAGAGTGGGGCTTTTGTGGTTTGGGGGCCACACCAAGTGGTATTCTCCAGGGCCCTGATGGTGCTTGGGGAACCACAAAGTGCTGAGGATCAAACTTGCGACTCCTGCATGCAACGAATGCACTCTCGCCTGCTGAGCTATCTCTGGGGTCTCCAAGAACATTTACTTCAAATTCTATATCACTTGTCATCCACTTCCTTTTGGAGAACCCACAGCTTTCATCGGAAACTAAAAAACCCTTCAATTTCCGAGATGTTCAGAGATATATCACCTCCCACATGCACAGCTTGTGGACTCCTACTTCAAGTCCTGTGCCCCATCAGGTAGACATGAAAGGTCACGGGATGTTCTCAGTTCTCAACTGCCAAAGCATGTCTGGGCTGGTCACCATCTTGGCCCTCAAGGACTACAGCCGGATCTAGCTTAGCTAAGGGTGAGAAGCGGACATGTATGACTGTCAATGCATGCTGAGATAAGCATGACTGAGGTGGTGCTCTAACCCTCAACTGTGACCCACAGCCATAGGCCACCTCAATTCACACAGGGTCCAATGTAGGGCTAAGCGGGAGAGCACCCAGAAATCTGCTGATTGGAGCAGAAAGCAAAAATCAACAAAATCTTTGACCTAAGCCTCCTTCAAATGGGATCCCTAATTCATCTTGTGACGATACTTGGGGCTTGTCCAAGGATTACCCATCAGTCACAGCCTTCAAAAGACGATGAGGTAAGATGGGGAAAAGGAAGGAGTGGAGGGAGGTTAGGATATGTTCACAAGAGCTTGCAGTCTGAAGGTCTCCTTACCCATTATCTTCTCCTCTCCCAATGAAATGCTCTGAGCTCAGTCAAAAGGTATCAGGGGACCCTCCAGCCCTGCTCGGGAAATGAACCATCATACCCTGAAGGAACATCAAACCTGCAGAGTCTCGGTCCAAATGTATAATGACTGCAAAAGCCAGATAAAGATGCATGCTCATAATTACTGCCACTGAATATATTAAAGTTACCTCAAAAATATCTCAGCTTTGTGATGCTTTATAGTTCAGGTGCAAATCTTTCTGCTCAATCCTGGGTAGGACAGAACTCAACTCTCTGATGAGAAGCAGCACCTTAGCCCAATGACAGAAAAACACTGTGTAAGAACTATTTCACATCTTAACTCAGGCATTACATCCTTGATTTAAACTGACACCCAATGAAACTGCATATACCGTCACATAAGAACTGACATGCAAACATTATATTACAAAACTAGGTAGCAAATGATGTTATAATGCAGTTGTTTCTCTCCCTTAAAACCTGGCAGAAGAGAGAAATAGTCCTCTGCCCATAACACAGGCAAGAAAGTCCAAAACATAAGCAGTGAAGTTCAGAAATTCTCTTCAAGTTATTTTCTCTTGTTACCCACTGTTCAAGATCTTCTGAGTTAGAGGAGAATGAGATTGTGAGAGCCGATAAAAGAAGAAAACAAAAAAGCTACTGAAGTTTAAACTAGAAAATCTATTCCAGAATAAAAACAATCCAAGCGCACTGTCAATATAAAACATGTCCCTACACCTGGTTTGCTGGGAAGCAGAAGAGACAGAGGTGCCCACCCCAGATATCAGGGAACTCAGTCCTGGACCCACACTCCATATGCCCCAACAAGATGCACTTAGCAAGCCAACAGCTCCATTTCCTCCATGTGAAATGCAAAAGTGGCTGGTTTTTCTGGACTGCTTCCAGCTGGAAATCTCTACATCCCTGGGTGTCCAGACTCTGGGAACCCCATTCTGCTAGAAAAATGTGCCCAGTACCACCATGGACTTTTGGGAATGCAGTTCAAAGTTTCTGCAGGGGTGAGGGGGTGGGTGGTGGAAATGACACTGCACAGGGGAGAGGCTGAGATGCAGCACCTGAGGACTGTGGCCTTTAAGAGGGGCTCTACTGGGGAGATAAACCCAGAGCAGCAGTTAAGAACAGGTGGGGGAGGGGGGGACAAAGAGTACAGGGGGATAGCTCCTTGCCAAAGAGCACATGGTACATGGTGTACATCTCAAACAGATCTGTGGCACCACTGGACCCCCAACACCTGTGGTGGGAGGTGCTCCCTCTGGAAACAGCCCCTGAAAACACTGGGGGTGGCCCAAACACTTCCTTCCCCCCCAAAAAGAACCAGCCTGAGCTGTTGAGGAGTGAGGTTAAAGACCCCTTACCAAACAGAGACTGTGAGGTGGGGCTCTAACCCCAGTGACAATCTGCAGCCAGGGGCCACATCAGCTCACACACATATACACAGCCAGAGGCCACATCAGCTCATGCACATACACACAGCCAGGGGCCACATCAGCTCATGCACATACACACAGCCAGGGGCCACATCAGCAAATACACATTCGTAGAGCCACGGGTTACCTCACCTCATACACACAACCACACAGGTCACATCACCTCACACACATAGGCACAGACCACACCACCTTACCAAATACACAGAGCCTCGGGCCACATCACCTCACACACAGTACACGGGCTACATCATCTTACACACACACTACACGGGCCACATCACCTCATCTCATACACACAGACACGGGCCAATCAGCTCACACACACAGACACGGGCCACCTCACCTCACCCACGGGCCACATCACCTCACACACACAGACACGGGGCCCATCACCTCATACACTCCACACAGGGGGTTGACATCCCCCCCTCCCTCCCTCCCCGTCTCCCGCCTCAGCGGCTCTACACTGGCGTTTTCTCACAGAAAGCAAGGACCACCGCAGCAAATCCCGGCCACGTCACACCCACGGCGGCTCCCCGGGGGTCTCTCCCGTACCGGGGGTCCGGGGAGAGAGGCGGGGAGCGCGCAAAGGAACGGCGGCGCCCCGCCCCGGGAGCGACCCTCGGCCCCGCGCCCCCGACGGCCGAGCCGTGGACCCAGAGTCGCTCTTCCGTGCCGCCCTGGGAACGGGCGGCGCTTCCGCCCCCGCGTCCCCACCCGCACACGCCCGGCCCGGCCCGGCCCGGGAAGTCCCCGGGGCAGGGCGAAGGCCGAGGCGCCCGGGGCCCCCGACCCCCACCCCGCGCCCCGCCGCCCGCCGCGGCCACTCACTGCTCCGGCGGGCCCAGCACGGCGCCCTCGGGGCCCGGAGCCGCGGCCTCCGCCTCGGCGCCCCGCCACGCTCCGGGCTGCGGCATGTCGTCCCGACTCATGGGCCGCCTCGGCCGCTCCCGCTGGGGCGCCCGGCCGTGGCCGCCGCCGTCCGCTGACCGGCGGCTTCCGAGGCTGCGCGGGGGCTTCCGCGCGCGTCACCGCCGCCCGCCCCGCGGCCTTTGACCCCCGCCCGAGGAGGGGCGTGGCCCGGGCCGTCTGCGCCGGCGCGAGCCCGGATTTCGCAGGCGCCGGGGGGCGGCGCGCTCACTGCGCCTGCGCGCGCGCTCGTGGCGGGCGAGGGGCGGCTCGCTCGGCCCAGGGTTCCCCGCGCGCGCCCGGACGGCTGAGGGGACGCCGGGGCCGCGGTTTGGGCGCCGCGCCGCCAAACGTCACGCCGGCCTACGTCGGCGGGGTTTCCTCGGCCGGAGCTCCGAGACGGACGTCCACCCCGCGTGCGCTGACGTCACCCCCCGCCGCCCGGCCCGCGACGTCCCTGCCCTGGCGGGGAGAGGGCGGGGAGCTTCGCGAACTGGGTCAGCGGGACAGTGGGTCAGGCGGGGCCGCGCGGGCGCCTTCCGGCACGGAATGCGCTGAGGGAAGGGGAGCCGGTCGGCGAGCCAGGCCGGAGCCGAGGGAAGGCGCGCCCGAGGGCGACGCCGCGGGAGAGGCGTCACTTCTGGGGAGGCGCTCCGGGGAGCCGCTCCGGAGGACCAGGAGTCTTGGGTGCAAGGGGACCCCTAAGGGACTCCGAGACCTGGTCCCCAGCCCAGGCGTCATTTCTGCGGTACTCAGGAAGGATCACGTGGCAATCTGAGGTATTCGTAGCACGCCAGGGGGGATTCAGGAGTTCCCCCCAGACTTGGAAGTAACGGGTTCAATTTGAACTTTCCATGGGATGTGATGGAAATTCTGTACTCAGTATAGTTTGGGGTGCAAGGGGGCACTAAAGGAGCCGCTCTGGAGGACCAGTAGTCTTGTGTGCAAGGGGGCATTACCCAGGCAAGAAGGGCAGCTGGCTCGGCAAGTCTGAAACCTGCAAGTACTTCCAGGGCAGAATAGGGAGCAGGGGGTTTTGTTGACAGGTGAGACGAAGAAGGCTGCTAGAGATTAGATCCTAGAAAACCTTCTCAGTGAACGGGGGAACCTTTGCTGGATTCTTGCAGAAAAATCATGAGGAGACGACTTTGTCACATTGCAGTCCGAGGAAGGCTTGGGAAAGGGCGAGAATGCAGAAGCAGCAGAAAAAGAGTAGTTGTGGACACCAAAAGAGAAACTGTATGGAAAGAATATTTGCATTTGGAGGTGAAAAAGTACACGTGATAGCAGTACCTTTATTTGAAAAACTTATTTACACCTGCCCCGAAATGGGTCACACCCAGCGTTGCACAGGGGTTACCCCTGGCTCATGCACTCAGGAATTACTCCTGGCAGTACTCGAGGGACCTTATGGGATGTTGGAATCGAACCTGGGTCGCCCACGTGCAAGGCAAATGTAAGCAAATAGTACCCGCTGTACTATCGCTCCAGCCCCAAAAGAGTATATCTTATGTGTACTAAGGGTGTGAAGTTTTAGTGGGTTGAATACCCCCAAATTCACTACTACCTGGAACCTCCATGTGAAAGCTTTTAGTTGGAAGCTTTCTTTTTATTTCCTTAAAGTAGGTAGATTTCCCCAGGGTACATGCCCCGACTTATTTTCTGAGAAGGGGACAGTTGACCAAATAAATGTGGAAACTTCTAGCCTAGGCATCTGAAAAACTGCTTATCCCCATGAAAATACAAATTAAGGGAACAGTGAAATGTCACCTCACCTGTGAGAATTAAAAGCAACAGCAGTGCCAACGCTGCTGTATACAGGGGTAGGGTTCTTGCCTTATATGACGCCAACCCAAGTTCCAGCCCTGGCATCCCATATGGCCCCCTGAGCATCACCAGGAATGATCCCTGAGCTGAACGGCAGAAGTAAACCCTGAGCACACTGGGTATGTCCCCACACTACCCCCTCCAAAAAAGATGCAATATAATTTTTCCCTCTGATAGGAAGGGTAGAATTATGTGTGTGATTATATGCGTGAATCTGTGGTCCTTATTTGCAAGGTCAAGCCAGGAGTTTTCTTCCTAGTTCTAATTTCAGATTCAAAAAAGGGGCTGGACATGTGGCTCAATGGTAGAGTATTTGGCTTGCAGGTGACTCTTAGTCTGATATCTGGCATTGTGTGGTCCCCTGAATACCAAGCCAGGAGAGGTCCCCAAGAGAAGCCAAAACAACAACGGAAAAAAGTTTGGTTCTCTAATAAAGAACTGAATTGATCATATGACAGTGTTTGTGGTATTCTTAGCATACCAGTGATGATTCATAGTTCTCCACAGACTTGAAGGAATGAATTCAATTTGTACTTGTTACGGAAATTCTGTACTCATATGATAAATCAGAAAGCTGAGTATAGTTTGGATAATTTCTACAAGAATAAATAGTGGAAATAGGGCCAGCAAAATAGTACAGCAGATAAGACGCTTGCCTTGCACATAGCCAACCAGGGTTTGATCCCTGGCATTTCACATGGTCCTCTCAGCACCACCAGAAGTGATTACTGAGTGCAGAACCAAATTTACCCTAAGCACCGCTACGTGTGGCCCCAAACCAAAAATAGATAAATGGAAATAGTAAGGGAAAATGTGAACTATATGGGTGTAGTTATTGTAATGGACAGTGGAAGCTGTCTGAGAGCCATCTGGTGTTCATTAGTTGACCAGAGATATGAAAGTAGAGGGATGATCCACTGAATTCATACTTGGTCTATGTGAGGGGAAAAAAATTATCTGTCTGATGAACAGAATTCCTACCTTACATCACCAAAACAAAGTCACGGGACATCAGTCAATTCTCAGACTTGAACCAGTTTACAACCCAGGATTCTGAATAAAAGGGGCCGGGGGCTGGGTCATTTTTGAGAGGACCAGGCAGCATGGCCAATAATGTTTTATTATTGTTTATCTTTTTTCCCAGGCTTCTCCCAAACAGTCTTGTGGCAATTTTATCAGGGTGATTGTGTACTGGGGCAAAGTAAACAGTCAAACTTTGTGGGGGTTGGTAGGCAATGGCTCTAACCTGACAGTAATTCTTGAAAACCCACGTCATTTCCTCTTACCTTTTAGCATAGCACTTTGGAGAATTAAGGGCTGGAGCGACAGCACAGCAGTAGGGCGTTTGCCTTGCATGCAGCCAACATGGCCGACCCGAGTTCAATTCCTCCGCCCCTCTTGGAAAGCCCGGCAAGCTACCGAGAGTATCTCGCCCGCACAGCAGAGCCTGGCAAGCTCCCCGTGACGTATTTGATATGCCAAACACAGTAACAACAAAGTCTCCAATGGAGACGTTACTGGGCCCGCTCGAGCAAATCGATGATCAACGGGAGGACCTTTACTTTACTTACTTTAGAGATGGGTCACTGAATGCCCTGTGTCGGTTCTCCAGTTGCAGAACGCATAATCACACGAGACATGCTCAGCAACCATCAGAATCCCCACATTGCTCCTCTGACCTCTACAGAGAAGAAAAGGCCAGTTACTAGAACGGTCACTGTCTATAAAAATGTAAATCAAAAAAAAAAAAATACCACATTCACTCAATCTCTGCCTCATGCTCGGGCCAAGCCTCATGCATAAGTGAAGTCCCGGAGAACCCAGGTAATGCGGAACTTTGTGACCTTGGACTCTGGGCTCAGTGGGACCCGGGAGCAGAGATCCTCTGTCTGTTTCCCCCTGTCTCTGGTGACCCAGGGATTACACCCGTAAGCCACCTACCGGTGCCAGATAATCTCGTCATTGGCCACCCTCCAGATCACACGGCTACTTCTCCTTCTCCTGGAAAGGAGCATAACATGAGGCCCCCATAGCCATGCCACCAGTCTCCATGCCAGGCTGTTTCACTTGGGGTGCCCCAAGGGAGGGCGGGTGAGAGCCTTCCCTGCCCCAAGGAACCCAGCCCCAGCAGCTGAAAACCTCCACAACCCAACAGCTGCCAAGCTCAAAGCCACTCCCCACACACTTGGGCCAAGCCTCACATATGAGGGAACATATTCCTGGACTGCATGGCCACGAAAGGAGCCATGCGACACATCATACAACACTCCCTACCCATTCTCCATAGTTACCACACCACATTTGTTGGGGTTCAGATAGTAAGCAACAAATCGTAGAGGGAAATATATATATATACCAAAGCTCACATCACCCAAACTTTAGCAACATGTTAGTGATATCCTATAGAATGTCTTACTGGCTCCTGCCAAAACAGAACAATCTTCACACTGTTTCCTATATGAACACTTTTGTGTAAGCATGTTCAGCAGTTCTTCATAACCGACAATACAAAATATATTCTTTCGGTTGTGTTTTGGGACAGGGATTGGGACTTGGGATGGAAACATCCCAAATTTGGTGGTGGAAGGTGTAATGGTGGTGGGATTGGTGTTTGAATATTAAATGTAATCAAATATTGTGAACTAACTTAAAAATAAAAAATAATTTTTTAAATACCACATTCTTGGGAGGGTTGCCAAGGTTAATGTCACCACTGAGAACTTGAAAATTGTACATCTTTTATCCATTTGTCTAGTTAGCATGTCCAGAGGACAGATGGGTCTTAGAGCCTGACCGTGGATTTTCATACATCTAATTATGTGGTCTGGCTCAGCTCTTCACAAGCTACCTGTCTGAATGCAAGGTTCCGTCCCAGTGGAAAACCAGCAGGACCGTACTACTGTTCAAAAAGGGAGACATCCATGACATTGGCAACTATCGCCCGATCTGCCTATTGTCTGTCATCTACAAGTTGTTCACTCGAGTCATCCTGAATAGGATTGGCAGAACATTAGATGAAGGACAACCATGCGAGCAAGCCGGGTTCCGCAAAGGATTCAGCACCATCGACCATATCCACACGATAACCAAGCTCATCGAGGTTTCTCGGGAGTTCAAGATGCCTCTCTGTTTAACGTTCATTGATTTAAAGAAGGCCTTTGATTCTGTTGAGACGGAAACGGTCATTGAAGCCCTAATCAATCAGGGCATTGAAACCCAATACATAAAGATCCTCCGTGAGCTATATTGCGGATTCACTACCACGATCTCACCATTCTACAAAGAAATAATCATTGATGTCAAGAGACGGGTTCGGCA